CCYYMAAMCMAMCSKWAAAWKKTTTTTTWMMAAMTWAAAAAAGACAAAAACTAATAAACAACCTATTTTTTACTATAATTGGGCCATTTATCGAGCTCATTAACCGGTTCTAGATTTAAAAGATGAATGATAAATCAGTCTTTCGGTCTGAATCGCACTAGTTAGGATCAATTGTGTTATCGATCCTAATTGTAACTTTAATAAACGGTTCCGCCATAAGCTCCAAAGCGTTCTAATTACAAACAATAAAAATAAAATTAGAATCATTTGAATATTTTTCAACACTTTTTCTATAAATAGTAAAAAAAAATTATATTTAACTATCAGATTTAGATATTTTAGCATTAAAAATATTATTAAAATATTCAACAGATTTAATATACTTCAACAAACTTCCAACATTTAATTGATAAAATTAATTAAAAAAAAATATTTATCTCTCTCTATATGCATTTAATTTTTTAGGGTTCTCCAATTTTTTTATTTTTGAAAAAGTTTTGGAGTATCGTTTAAAACGAACAATTAGAATAAAATTTACATTTAGTCTATCTTAAAGAATCTGTTGAAAATGTTTTAATAGATATAAACATTGACTGATTAAGAAACGTAAATTTAATCGATCATATGGTTGGGCCTAATCATATCCATAATACCAATTTTGACACAGTTCTTGATTTTAGGACTAACCATATGCCCCAACATGTTTTAGTAACGAACAATGGAAACAAAATTAGTTTCATCTGAACATTTCCCATGGTTCTTTCATAAAATAAAATAAAAAGTGAAATAAAATTACAAAAAAATTATATTTAACTCCAATAGTTTCTTCAATATGAAGATTTAAGCATTAACTATGTCGTTAAAATATTCAATACATTTCATACTCCAACAAACACTCAATATTTAATTGGTGGGAACGATAAAAAAAGCATTTCTCTCTCTACTAGAATTGAATTTTGGGAATTCTTTAAAGTCACATACTAAAAGTCCAACGAACTTTCTATTGAACATAAAGTTCAGTGTAAGTATCAATGAAAGCAGCAAAATCGTTAGCATGCAAAAAAGAACCATGAGCAAAAACATATCAACATTATCAAAGACAAATCATAGAGATCTTGTTTTGTCGATGTATCTTGAAGAATGTTGGTGGATAATAACGCTATTTCAAGATAAGGCAAGGAACCCCTATGAAATTCTTCCAAATCTTCACATTATGTGAATATATCAAAACAAACAAATAACCACATAAATTCTTACCACTCTTTTTCATAAACAAATAGAAAAATTCTTCCACGTGCTCTTTTTTAATGCGTTCATGTATATGATGGTTGGAGAATCGAACAAACAAACAAATAGAGAATGAGAAAGCAAAAAGATGCTTTCCGTTATGGATTTCAGTGGGTTTTTCGAGTATGCAATGAGCAAACAAACAGGATTTGAACCCGAGGGAGTAGGTTTATTGGCTTATTGATTTGAAACCAATACTATAACGACATACTATCCAAATCTAATAAAGAATGCTATTATTTAAAAAATGAATAAACTGGTTAGCCAGATGGACCTTTTAACCCTATTCCTATCACTTTCTGTCCTAATCATGGAAAAAAGTAAACGATTAAACCAAAGTTATAACCGCATATCAGGTGAAATTTCAATAACCAATATAACCGGTCACAAATGCAAGAGACTGTTTTTATAGGACAGTGACTAATTCGGGCCAAAACAAACTACAATGAACAACCAAATGATGAGAGATATGGATTTTAAGCAATTATAGTGAATCTGTAACAACCCAAAAAAAAAAGAAAAAAAATTAAATGTAATTTAATGACAGGAAACCCAATGGTCATGAAACCTACGACTATTAAGCATGACTTATCGTTTCATATTCCGTGAAACCG